TATCGCTTTTATCCCTTTAAGGGTAAAAGTAATGGATAAACTTCGACTCATATGCTTGTTCTACTACTTTTTGAATCATACATAAAGGCACGTTTTATAACATCGAGTTACCAATGCATTTCTTACAATCAATGTATAACCAACTCATAGGCAACAACTCATATCACTAGGTTTGAAGAATATAAGATATTATCGTCTCATGATCACTCGTGATAAAATCCATGAAGTGAGTCAAATGAGCATGGGTTTAATCCAATACTCAGAACTTATGAGCACTCATGAATGTTGTAGCAACTCTTGCTATGTCCATTACCTTGGACATCTACAAACTAGCTTCATGACAGTTTTGCCTTAATACCTATTTCCAACGTATTATCGACTGTGGATGGTTTGAATAACTTAGGTGTTGTTTGTTTTTTCGAAGCGAAAATTCATGAAGTCTGCGGACCACCTCTGCAATCCTCTGTAGCAGAAGAGGTGGAACAAACGGCTGCAACCCATAGTAAGAAGCATGTTTTTTTTTAATATCTGCAAACTGCTGCAGTAAACTGAAATTTAAATAAACTAATTTTATAAACTTAAAATAGTTCTCAACACCGAAATCTTAATAATTCTAGTCTTAAAACATTGAAAGAGTACTAAAAAGAACATGTAAAAAAACAAAAATATAAAACTTTTAAAAAAAACTTACAAAAATATAAAAGAAGCTAACAGCTTTATTCTAGAAAAAAAACTAATTTTAAAAAACATAAAAAAGAAAATAATAATAAAAATTAAGAAAGTATTGCAAACGATGTCTACAAAGTTCGTAAAAAATTACACACGTTAAAAAAGATGAACTAAAAGTGAAAATATTATTAACAAAAACGGTAAAAAAAAATTTAAAAATCAAAGCTTTTTTTTTAAATCAAGTTAAAAAAATTTGTGGAAACTATAATAAGAAATTGTATCAAATCCGTAAATAAAAGTTAAAAAAAAGTTTAAAAAAAATAAGTTATACCAAAATTCTAAAAAAACACTTCAAAAAATTGAAAGCTGAAGAGGTTTGAAGAGGCAAGTCAAGTGCTGCGCCACGCAGCACACGCGTAGAGGTTTTGCAGTCTGAAGTCTTCCAAAAAACAAACTGCTGCGAGAGGGAAAATGTTGCGCGTGTGCTGCGCCGCGCAGCAGAAAGTGGTTTGAAGAGGTTTTTTTTAAAAAACAAACAACACCTTAGTCATTCAGGAAGAACGACCTAGTTATTCTGAAAGTCAAAACATGCAAAGTGAAACAAAAGAGTAATCGAATCCAATATGGTCTCAGAACTTATGAATATAAATAGAACACCTTTTATTTATCACTATATTGATTACACATTATTCATTGCATACTGTTTCAAATTATCAACTTTATACTTGAATCAAAACAATAGTCATGCCATGCTCCATGCATGCACACTATGTTTATCCAAACAATAGTCACGCCATACACCAAATATGCACACTATGTTTGTTCAACCATTAGTTATGCCATACACCAAGTATGCACACTAAGTTTGTCTATGATCTTTTACTTTGTGAAATAGATCTA